AAAGATTGGTCCAAGCAAAGTTGTTCAAGTGGTCACTGATAATGCAAGTGAAAATAAGAAAGCGGGTAGCATGATTGAAGAAGCGTACAAGAAAGTCTATTGGACTCCATGTGCGGCTCATTGTATCAACTTGATGTTCAGGGACATTTTCAAGGAAAAACTCTTCTCTACAGTTTTTGGCCAGGGCGTTAGGTTACATTCTTATATTTCTCAGCGGCCCTTGTTATTGAATATGATGAGAAGATTCACCATGCAAAACAATTTGGTGAAACCGGGCAAGACAAGGTTCGCCACTGCTTTCTTGAGTTTGCATAGTATCCACTGTCAAAAAGACAATTTGAGAAAGATGGTCACTTCAGAGGAATGGAGCAAGAGTAAAATTGCAAAGGAAAGTGCGGGAAAAGAGGTTGCACACATTATTCTTTCTTATTCTTTTTGGAATAATGTCCTTCATGCTCTTAAAATTGGTGGCCCTTTGGTTAATGTACTCCGTTTGGTGGATGGGGAGCAAAAACCACCAATGGGCTACCTCTATGAAGCTATGGATAGGGCCAAGGAGGCTATTCAAGCATCAGTCAGTGATGAGCAGAAATATGCAAAGGTCTTTCAGATCATTGATGCAAGATAGGACGAGCAACTTCATAGACCTTTGCATGCAGCTGGACTTATTCTGAACTCATCACTCTTTTATGAGCAGCATGAGAAAAATTCATTGGCTAAAGAAGTGTGGACAGGATTCCATCAGGTTGTTATCAAGTTGACCCCAGATGAAGACTTGCAAGAAAAGATAGTAGATCAGCTTGCTACTTACAAGGCAGCTGAAGGACTTTTTAAGCTCCGACTTGCTATTAAACAAAGAACGACGAAGTCGCCAGGTGACCAAGTGTTTCTAAATTTTATAGCTCTAACTTAAATGTATTTTTTATACTTATTAACTCTTGAACATTTTTTTGACTTCTATAGTTGAATGGTGGGACCAATATGGTGTAGAAACTCCGGAGTTACCGACTTTCGCCATCAAAGTTCTAAGCTTAACTTGTAGCTCATCCGGATGTGAAAGGAACTGGAGTGTTTTTGAACACGTGAGAAATAAAAAGAATTATTTCGTGTTTTGAGATAAAGTAAATTATATCTCAATTGTCCAAACTCCTACTAATTAGTTGACACATCTTTTTTGCAGATTCATACAAAGAAAAGGAATCGACTAACCTTGAAGCGCCTCCATAATCTAGTGTTCATAAAATACAATAGAGCATTGAGGCGTCGCTACAACCACCGCAATATAATTGATCCAATTCTTTTGGACAATATTGATGAGCCTAATGAGTGGCTAACTGGAGTCCCCGAAAATTGTGAAGATGAAAAAGTATTTGAAGGCGACTCCGATTTCACTTGGGGTGACGTTGCGATTGGTAGTGGAGTTGGGGAGGATCCTTATGGTTTAAGGAGATATACTCCAAGTTCAAGCTCTATTAGGAAGGGAAAAAGTGTGGCTACTACAAGTCGATCTCTATCCCTAATTGATGAAGATGAGAGTGATCATGAAGAGGAGGGGGAAAAAGAAGATGACGGGCAATATGAAGATAATAGAGGAATTCAAGATTTTGACAATCTTGAAGAAAAAGAAGAGTAGAAGAATAAGATGTTGATTCTAGTAATTTAGTAGCTTTGGTTTTGCTTGTCCTATGGTTTGTGGATGATTTGGTGGTACCTAGTACCTACTTTTAAGTATTTAAATTGAAGTTTTTGATTATTTGTAATTTTATATTATGTTTTTTAAGAATTGCGCTTCACTTTAATAAAGCATGTGCTTCGCTTTGCGCTTCGCTTTTGAAGCGAGGCGAGCCCTTGTCGCTTTTTTGCGCTTCGCACTCTCAAAAACACCGGGGTCTCAAAAGGGTACTTAGACGGGCACCGAGGCAACTGGTGGTGGAATGACGTGGTCCAGAGTAAAGTGGAAGCAAAGAAAGCGGCTTACCTTAAGTTATTGGAAAGCGCTGACGAGGAGCAGAGGAGAGCGAACAGAGAAAGATATAAGGAAGTTAGGAGGGAAGCGAAGCTAGCGGTCACGGAGGCTAAGACTGTTGCGTTTGGGCGGTTGTATGAGGAACTGGGGGTAAAGGTGGGGACAAGAAGTTATTTCGACTGGCTAAAGCGAGAGAGAGGAAGGCTCGTAATCTGGATCAAGTGAGGTGCATCAAAGACGAGGAAGGTCGGGTATTGATGGAAGAGGCCTAGATTAAGCAGAGGTGGCAGTCGTACTTTCATAGTCTTCTGAATGAAGAGGGAAACAGAAACATCATGTTAGGGGAGTTGGGGCACTCCGAGAGTCACCAAGACTTTAGGTACTGTAGGCGTATTAAGGTGGAGGAGGTCATGGGAGCAATGCGTAAGATGAGTCGAGGCAAAGCGATCGGACCAGACGAGACTCCAGTTGAATTTTGGAGGTATGTGGGTAAAGCAGGCTTGGAGTAGCTGACTGAGCTGTTAAATGTTATTTTCAAGACGAAGAGGATGCCAGATGAGCGGAGATGGAGTACGATGATTCCGTTGTACAAAAACAAAGGGGACATCCAGAATTGTAACAACTATAGGGGTATAAAGTTACTAAGTCATACCATGAAAGTTTGGGAAAGGGTGGTGGAAGAGAGGGTAAGGAGGGCGGTGTCTATATCAGAAAACCAGTTCGGGTTCATGCCTGGTTGCTCTACTACAGAAGCTATCCATATTATCAGGAGGTTGGTGGAACAGTACAGAGATAGGAAGAGGGATCTGCACATGGTGTTCCTTGATCTAGAGAAGGCATATGACACGGTCCCTAGGGACGTTCTTCAGAGATGCCTGGAGGTGAAGGGTGTGCCGATAGCTTATATTAGGGCGATAAAAGATTTATATGATGGAGCTAAGACTCGGGTTAGGACTATATGAGGTGATTCGGAGCCCTTTCCAGTAGTTACGGGGTTACACCAAGGATCCGCGCTCAGCCCGTTCTTAATTGCCCTAGTAATGAACGCATTGACACACCATATTCAAGGGGAGGTGCCATGGTGTATGTTGTTCGCTGATGATATAGTCCTGATTGATGAGACGAGAGGCGGTGTTAATGAAAGACTGGAGGTATGGAGGCAGGTCCTGGAGTCTAAAGATTTCAAGTTGAGTAGGACCAAGACGAAATATTTGGAGTGCAAATTCAGCGATGTGTCGGGGGAAGTGGACGGGGGGGTGAGGCTTGACTCGGAAGTTATCCCTAAGAGAGAGAGTTTCAAGTACCTAGGGTCTATTATCCATGGAGATGGGGAGATCGACGGAGATTTCACGCATCGTATCGGGGTGGGATGGATAAAATGGAGGTTAGTGTCTGGAGTCCTGTGTGACAAGAAGGTTCCACTGAAACTTAAAGGTAAGTTCTATAGAGCGGTGATTAGACCGGCCATGCTGTATGGGGCGCAGTGTTGGCCAGTCAAGAATTCTCATATCCAAAAGATGAAAGTAGCCGAAATGAGGATGTTGAGATGGATGTGCGGGCACACTAGGCTGGATAAGATTAGGAATGAAGATATTCGGGAGAAGGTGGGCGTGGCTCCCATGGAGGATAAGATGCGGGAAGCGAGACTTAGATGGTTCGGGCATGTGCGGAGGAGGAGCCCAGATGCCCCGGTTAGGAGGTGTGAACGGTTGGCTTTGACATGTACAAGGAGAGGTAGAGGGCGGCCTAAGAAATATTGGGGCGAGGTGATAAGGCAAGACATAGCGCAACTTTAGATTTCCGAGGACATGGCCCTGGATAGGGAGGTGTGGAGGTCGAGCATTAGGGTTGTAGGTTAGGGGGTGGTTGAGCATTTTTCTTCGTTGTTCTGGCTAGTCTGATAGTGTTTTATATAGGACTGCTAGCGGTTATTGTTCCATCACACTTTTATTTTTTGTTTATTATTATTATTTATTATTATTAATTTTTTATTTATATTTTATATTTTTTTCCAATTTTTATTATTACCATAGTTATTGTCCTTCCCACTTATTTTTTGTCACTTACGGTGCTGATCTTATTTGTATGTTTTCTGTTGTTGTTACAGATCTTTCGTTTTTGAGTCGAGGGTCTCCCGGAAACAGCCTCTCTACCCTCATGGGTATGGGTAAGGTCTGCGTACATTCTACCCTCCCCAGACCCCGCTAGTGGAATTATTACTGGGTTGTTGTTGTTGTTGTGTTTGAGTTATAAAATAAAAATTAAGGAAAAGGTGTAAATTCTTAAAAATGTTAAATATTAATTTCATTTAGCTAGCTCAATAAAAGAAGAAATTCTGCCCCACGGAAGTCCTCAAATGCCCTATTTTTATTTTTGAGGCTATTTACCTGAAAATAAACAAGTAACACAAAAATACTTTTATCACGATTCTTCAAAGATTTACCTGAAATTTCTTGTTCATGTCCACTATTGTTTCCATCATTTAACTTTGTTGCATTTGATTCAATATTTTTGTTCATCCTCCCAATGGCATAAGCAACTTTCCGTTGGTCTACAAAAAGAAAATAATTGTTTTGATGAAGTATGAGAGATTATTAAAAGCAGGTAGAAGATGCAAAAATAGAGCACTGTACTAGTGCTTAAACAAAAGAGTTTGCTAGCCCTATTACAGATAATCTTATGCTACGTATTGGAAGTTAACAAAATCCAAAAATGACTCGGGTGAGCTACCAGGGGAGTGATACTCCAGCTACATAACAAAATAAAACAATTAGCCTTGAGGGAGTAAGTTGGAGTTGATAATCCATCAAAACACCTTCTATTCCTTTTTGACCAAATTGTCCAAAATTTAATTTAATTACTGACGATTAACAATATTTTAAAGAACATAATGTGTTAATTATAAGTAAATCTACCTTGTTGTGCCATCTGTATTTAATGAATAATGGAAAGTATCCTGCAGCATGCAAAAACTTGTTAATATCGCATTCAAAATTTCAAATTGAATTAAACACATGGAATATAATTCAGCCACATTAGAAACATATACTGAGTAAAAATTATGAACTAAATATTAAATGCTAAGTCGGAAAATGTTGCTCCTTACTTTGAAACAAAATCAAAATCTAGCCAATCAGTAAGTATCAAGAATAAAAAAATAAATTGGAGCTTATACTATTAAGAGAATGTTACACCACTAATCATTTACTATTTTTAGTTTTTTATGAGTTAGTGAGTCGTCGTCACTCCTTCCCCGATGATTTGTGGTGTAGTTGCTGTTTTTGGATTGTTGGTGGGTTTTCCTTCTTTTCTAAATGATTCATATAAGGTACAAAAAAAAAATTAAAATCTTAAATATTAGGACTTCGTACCTAGTTAAGATAAGGAATGATTTAGTAAGAAAAATTTTAGTTGTTTATAAATAACAATTTTGTCTAATGTGCAATCTATTTTTAAAGGGTAAAAAAGTCAATAATATTTTGCACATGGTTTTCGTGCTTTTTATAAATGTGGAGAAATAATATACTTGGTTAAAATATTTTGGAAAGTATTTTCTCTGGAAAAACAAGTTACTCTTCCTTATGGAGTAGTAAAAACAAGCTCCATAAATGGCATTCCACGCTAATTGCCTTCTCCCCATCCCCCATCGCCCAACACCCCACCCTACTCTCTGTAGTGTTTGCCTCGTGCTCGTGCGGCAATATTGTCTACTTAGAGCCCGTTTGGGTTAACTGATTTAGAATAGCTGATAAGCATTAGGTGCTGAAAAGCACTTTTAAGTGCTGAAACTGATTTAAAAAATAAGTAGTTACGTGTTTGGATAAAAGTGCAGAAATTAATAATAAGCAGCTGAAGAACTGGGTGTACGAAGAGTTTTGTTTTAAAAAGAAGTATTTTAGGGATAGAATAGTAAATATTTTGGTCAAACCTAAAGTGCTTATAAGCTGAAATTTGATAAGTTGGGGGAGACCAACTTATGACTTTTGGCTTATTTTTGGCTTATAAGCATTTAACTTATAAGCACTTTTAATTTTACCAAACGCGTAGATAAGCCAAAAAGTGCTTATAAGCTAGTTTGACCAGCTTATAAGCTTAGCCAAACACCCTATTACTTACCAAACACCAGGATATAATCAAGAAACGCACTTATTTTCCAGGAAAATATATTTTCCATTGAAAACAATTTCCATCATACCAAACACGCCCTTTATGTTTTTCTTTTTCCGTTGTCAGTTAGATTCTTCATACTGAGAAAAAATTATCAAATAGTAGGTGTTATAATTGAAAAGAATATCACAAGCTCATTAAGACTATAAATAAACATTATGGTGCGATTCACCAAAAATTATGGATTGCCATTAAAATTCCATTGCTGAAAGGGATAAGGTTTTTTGCTAACTAAGACACATAGAAATGGATTATAAAGAAAAAGCACGCAAGAGAATAAAGTTACCAAATTCCGTTAGCGGCAGAGTGATTATGAGCAGCTTAATTGGCGGCAGAGAAGACGAACTTTAGCGACCTGGTAAACAAAATCTTTTGAAAAATTGCTGTTTGATGCAATGTAGAAAGGTTTTACTCTGTTGATTAAACCAAAAGGGTTTAATTTTATTTAAAGGGGGAATCCAATTATATTATGGGGCTGGGTTTTAAAATGAACCCGTTAGGTCTTTTGTTTAAATGGCCTCCTCATGTCGTATGGAACTGAATGTTGGCCGGTAAAGAACTCACACATCCAAAAGATGAAAGTAGCAGAGATGAGGATGTTGAGGTGGATGTGCGGGCATACAAGGATGGATAAGATTAGAAATGAAGATATTCGAGAGAAGGTGGGTGTGGCCCCCATGGAGGACAAGATGCGGGAAGTAAGACTCAGATGGTTCGGGCACATTCAGAGGAGGAGCACTGATGCACCGGTGAGGAGGTGTGAGAGACTGACTGTAGTGGGCACGCGGAGAGGTAGAGGAAGACCTAAGAAGTATTGGGGAGAGGTGATCATACAGGACATGACGCGACTTAGGATTACTGAAGACATGACCCTTGATAGGGAATTATGGAGGTCGAGCATTAAGGTTGTAGGTTAGGGGAGAGGGTGAATATTTCTACAGCACAACTGAGAGAGACTATCTAGTTAGGAGTTAGACTAGGAATGTCAGTGGTCGTCTATTGATGCAGGGCTTTACCTTCTAGTTGTACTATACCAGCCATCTATTTCGTATTTCGTATTTTGTATTTCGTATTTCGTATTTCGTATTACGTATGTTGTATTTCATATTTCATGTCTCTTGTATATTGTGGTTATTTTTATCATGTATTTTTATGGTACTAATATATCATCTCCTATTACTTTTTTGAGCCGAGGGTCTCCTGGAAACAGCCTCTCTACCCTTCGGAGTAGGGGTAAGGTCTGCGTACATATTACCCTCCCCAGACCCCACTTGTGGGATTATACTGGGTCGTTGTTGTTGTTGTTGTTGTTGCCTCCTCATGTCCGTCCGTTAAAAGTAAAATTTGTGCTCGGTGTACCTCACTAATAGCCTGTTTGGCCAAGTTTCGCCAATGCACTTTTTTTCAAAAAAAAAAAAAGAAGTTTTCTTTTTTAAAGTTAAAGTGTTAATCAAGCTTTTGGAGGAAAAAAAATAATTTTGAGGAGAAGCAGAATCAGTTTTGAACAGGGGCGGATTTGGCCCAAAATAAAGGTGCACGTGAACCCGTGCTTTTACCGGCAAACTAGGTATTTTATGTATATATTTCCTCAAATTGATCTAACATTATCCACTGGCACCCATGCTTCAAAAAGGTTGAATGGGGCACTTGGTTGAAGGTTACGTTATTTACTCAAAGGAATAGGAATCGATTATCACTTAGTATTTTTTTTCTCTCCTTTTTTTAGTGGTGCACCCATGTTTTAGAAATTCTAGATCCGCCTCTGGTTTTGGAGATGCAGAAAAAAGTTGCTTCTCTCCAAAAACATTTTTGAGAAAAATACACTTAGAAGTAGTTCTTAAAAGCTTGGCCAAATATTAATTGCTGCTCATAAGTGCTTTTCAAATTAATTAGTCAAACACAAACTGTTTCTCACAAAAGTACTTTTTAGAAAAATACTTTAAAGAAAAAACACTTCTCAAAATAAGCTGATTTTTATAGCTTGGTCAAACACGTTATAAATCTGGTATTTAATTTTTGTCACGCATCTTTTAACTTTGTAAGCAAGGTAAATAACCTTTTTACCTTTTGACTCTCCTCTTCTTCTCTAACTCTTCTTCTACACTTCTTCGTAAATAATCATAACGCCGTTTTTGTTGTCCGCTCGCACAAAATGGTTGGAGGAATACTGGCAGGTTTTCTTTGAGTGACCTTTTTTGTGGTCCTACTTTATTGTAACGATCCGGCCAGTCGTTTTAAGAATTTACGTCCCAATACCCTATTAACTATTTTTTCCGTGTTTGTTTCTGCTATTTTGATTCGCCGGGATGTTTGGTTTTGAGTTTTTGGGACACATAGTCCCTAAATGAGAGTTTAAGCTTTAGAATTTGGACCATAGTCGGAGCAGTATGAAGACGTCCTCGGAATGGAATTCCGTCGGTTTCATTAGCTCCGTTGGGTGATTTCGGGTTTAGGGGCGTGTTCGGATTGTATTTTGGAAGTCTGTAACTAATTTAGGCTTGAAATGCCGAAAGTTAAATTTTTGAAGTTTCCGGTTCGATAGTGAGATTTTGATATCAGGGTCGGAATGGAATTCTGGAAGTCGGAGTAACTCCTTAGTGTTGAATATGACGTGCATGCAAAATTTCAGGTCATTCGGACGAGGTTTGGTAGACTTTTTGATCGAAAGCGTAATTTGAGAGTTTTTTTGGAATTCTTAGGCTTGAATATGATGTAAATTTGGTGTTTTAATATTGTTCTGAGCGTTTCGAAGATTAGAACAAGTTTGAATGATGTTTTAGGATTAGGGCATGTTTGGTTGAGGTCCCGGGGGCCTCGACTGTGTTTCGGATGCTCAACAGACCATTTTTGGACTTGGAGAAGGATCAGATTTTTGTTGGGTTTTGTTGCAGACTTTTCTTCATCGCAATCGCGTGAGGAGGCTCGCGATCGTGAAGGCTTGGATGAGTAAGAGGGATTTTGTTCTACGCGATCGCGGGAAGAGGAGTGCAAACGCGTAGTATTGGTAGAAGTTGAATCGCGAACGTGTGGGCTACGTCGCGTTCGCGAAGAGGAAGAAGTGAGGCAACTGAGGAGTGGAAGTTGCTCTTCGCGATCGCATGAGGTCAACCGCGATCGCGTAGAGCTGAGCAGCGGAAGCATCGTGTTCGCGTAGGGTAAATCTGGGAGCCAGCGAAGTTTCTCTTCGCGATCGCGATTAAGGATTTTCTAAGCAGAATATAAAATTTCAAAGATGAGGGTTTGGCCATTTTTATCAAAACTTAAGCTTGGGAGCTCGGATTTAAGCGAGGTTTTGAGAGATTTTCAGAGATATCGATTGGGTAACGATTCTTAACTCCTTTTTGCTTGTAACCCATTAATCTAAACATGAATTCATCATTTAATTTCGGAATTTGTATGAAAATTGGGGGAAAGTTCTTAGACCAAAAATTCAAGTTTTGATTGGGGAATTGACATTGGATTTGGATAATTTTGGTATGGTTGGACTCGTGAGAGTATGAGAATTCTGAAAATATAAATTTTACCCGATTTCGAGATGTGGACCCCAGGGGCATTTTGGTCATTTTACCTAATTTCGCGTATTAGCTTAGAATTTGTTTGTAGAATCAGTTACATAAAGTGTTATTTACATTATGCAATTGAATTGAATAGATTTGGGCCATTTGGAGTCGAGTACTCGTGGCAATAACGTGGCTTCGGGTTGATTTTGAGCCAGTTCGAGGTAAGTGGCTTGCCTAACCTTGTGGGGGGGAAACTCCCCTTAAGATTTGGTATTGTTAATATTTGAAATGCCTTGTACGTGAGGTGACGAGTGCGTACTTGTGCTAATTGTTGAAAATCCAGTTTTCATTAAGTAACTTAAATTGTGTTTTCCATTCCTGTTTATTCTACTTGTAATTAAGCATGTTGCTAGCTTAGGAAATCATGTCTAATTGCTTTAATTGCTTTATTTGCTCAAACTGCCTTATTTGAATTATGTGAAGCATGCTAGGTTAGAAATACTTGTTCACCTTGATGTGAAATTTAATTTAATTGAGTGTTCTGCGTGTTGTTGCTGCGTGTTTACTTTGGGACTACGGGAGGGTATCCCGGGAGATCCCCTGCACATATATATTGATTTGGACTGTAGTGCGAGATAACAAGAGATCCTCGGCACATATTGAGGATACTAAGAGATCCTTGAGATACTGAGAGATCCCCAACATAGATATTGAGGATACTAAGAGATCTTCGGAATACTAAGAGATCCCCGACACACATATTGAGGATACTAAGAGATCTTCGGAATACTAAGAGATCCCCGACACACATATTGAGGATACTAAGAGATCCTCGGGATACTGAGAGATCTTCGACACACATATTGAGGATACTAAGAGATCCTCGGGATACTAAGAGATCCCTGGCACACATATTGAGGATACTAAGAGATCCTCGGGATACTAAGAGATCCCTGGCACACATATTGAGGATATTAAGAGATCCTCGGGATACTGAGAGATCCCCGGTTGTTATCTCGGTGTTGAGTTATACTCCTTTCCGTGATTATTTTGTCTCTATTATAGTTGTTGTTGTTCTTTCTATTCTATGTTATTTCTTACTTTTACACTTAATTATATTGTCTTATTCTACACTGTTATACCTTATATTTCATTTAATCTTAGTAGGGCCCTGACTTTCCTCGTCACTACCCGACCGAGGTTAGGCTTAGCACTTACTAAGTACCATTGTGGTGTAATCATGCCCTTTCTGCACATGTTTTTCATGTGCAGATCCAGGTACTTCGACTTAGTCCTATCACCCTTGAGGCGAAGCGTTTTTCATAGAGACTTCGAGGTATATCTGCCGCGTCCGCAGACTGAAGAGTCCCTTTCTATTCGCAGTATTAGTATAGCCCTTCTGTATTTTTCATTTTGATAGACATTTTGGAGTTAGAGCTTTTATATATCTCTTAGCTTGTGATTCATGAGGTTCCGGATTTTGGGAGTGTTAGGTTGAGATTTTGTATTGTTAAATGCCTAGCGGCATCTTAAACACTGTTTCTTTTTGTTATATCAGATTTTAATTATTTTCTTTTCCGCATTTGTTCGGCTTACCTAGTCGTAGAGACTAGGTGTCGTCACCATAGTTCACGGAGGGCGAACTAGGGTCGTAACAAGTTGGTATCAGAGCTCTAGGTTCATAGGAGTCATGAATCACAAGCCGGTTTATTAGTCTCGCAGATCGGTACAGAGATGTTTGTACTTATCTACTAGAGGATATGTAATCGTAAGGAAAATTCCACTTCATTTGATTTTCCTGTCGTGCGAGATTTTTTTTGACATCAAAATCCTAAACCTCTGTCTTCTATTCTCTCATAGATGGTGAGGACACGTGCTACCGGA